ACACACACACATACACACACACACACACGTACACCCTATTGGGGCCCCTTTATAATAGCAGGTGGAGTCCCCGTTTCTAACCCCCCACTTCCCAGCTCAAACCTGTCAGATACCACACACACACACACAGAGAAAGAGAGGGAGAGAGCGAGAGCGCCTCACATCTCACATTCCTGAGGCCCACAAAGAGGAAGAAGGAGGTCTGAAAGGTCAAGAGAGACAATTCATCCGAGCAGGAGGAGAAGAAAAGGGGAACGGAGGGAGAAGGAGGAGGAGGAAGGGATGATGGAAAGGGAGAGGGAAGAAGTTGGAGGGGAGGGAAAGTTGGAGGGGAAAAAGCAGATGAAAGGATGAGGTCAGAAGAAGAGAGGAGATGAGGGAATTGAGCAGTTATAGTCTGTATTCGTCAGCGTCAGTTAGTCTAGTAGCACTCTTTCCTTTTCAAAGATCCTAAAGGAGGAATCTCAAATCCTGACAACTCAAACTTTATATGAGCAAAAAGGAGGAATAGTTTTCTCATGATATTCTTTCTGTTGTTGCATCACAGCAGCAATTAGCCACGTTCATTTTGTCTGTCCCTATTTCTTTGCTTCCTCCCACCAGAGGAATGATGGGAAAGCATTGCCCCTGGCTACCCGAGTCCAGCCCGGGTCCCGCTGGGTGTTCGCCACGCTGGTGGCCATGGCCTGCATGGGCAGCATCCTGGTGGCGACCATGACCATCGCCTGCCTGCGCCACCACGCCCACCGACTGGCGGCGAAGAAGCTCGGCCTGGGACCAGAGGGAGGAAGCTTCAGCCACCAGGAGTACCAGGTGTGATTCCCCCAAATAGCTACAAATAAAAATCAGTGCATGTGTGAGTAGCTTATAGTGAAGAAGAAAGCAGCTTAACAACACGATGCATGCATAACTGGCTCATCAGGACCTGTGTCGCCAGCACATGGCCTCCAAAGGTGCCTTCGGACGCTTGGAAGCTGCCGCCCTGGGCGCCGTTGGGGGAGCAAGTGGAGGAGGCGCAGGATCAGCCGGTGTTGGGGCAGGAGCGGGAGGAGCAGTGGGCTCTGGCGGCGCGGACTCGAGGGTGAGCAGCGTGTCATCCCAGTTCAGCGACGGAGCCCAGCCCAGTCCCGGCTCCCACAGCAGCACGCCGTCATGGTGCGAGGAGCCGGCACAGGCCAACATGGACATCTCCACGGGTCACATGATACTGGTCAGTAGCTGCCAATGTGTTTGTCATGTGAGAAAGTGGTGTCGTGTAAAATTATAATAATAATTATTTCTAAAGGCCTACATGGAGGACCACCTGAGGAACAAGGACCGTCTGATGAAGGAGTGGGAGGCTCTGTGTTCCTACACGGCGGAGCCCAGCATCGTCTCTGCGGCTCAGAGCGACGCCAACCCCAAGAAGAACCGCTGCCCCGACTCTGTGCCCTGTGAGTCCCGATCAATCAGTAACATGCAGTTTATAATCATAATTTCAGGAGAAGGGTTGATGTTAACGGGATATTGTCGCTGTCATTCTCCAGATGATCACTCCAGGGTCAAACTGAAAGAGATCAACCCCTCGCGGTCCGACTACATCAACGCCAGCACCATAGTAAGACCCCTGCCTCTCATAAAGGTCTCCATGGGACATTTTGGGATCCATTACTCCCCAAATCGTTGCATGAAAGAATGTGGCTGCTTCAGTGGACACCGATCTGAGACCACTGACCCTGTGTGACCTTTCACCCCACCTCCCTTTAGATTGAGCACGACCCACGGATGCCGGCCTACATCGCCACCCAGGGCCCCCTGTCGCACACCATCTCTGACTTCTGGCAGGTCGGTGAAAAATGTATATTTTACATGCGGAGCAGAATGCATCGTTTAATTTGCAAACTCTGATAAAGTGGTGTTGATTCAAGAGAGTACGTTTTGAATTGTTTTTAAAGGTCCAGTGTGTAAGATTTAGGTCAAAGGGAATTATTGGCAGAAATTGAATATAAATATATATATAATCCTAGTGATGTTTTCAATAGTGTGTTTTATCTAATTGGACAAATTGTTGTCTCTTCCCTGGAATGGGTCCTTTATATATAAATACATTTTATTTACATCAGGAGCGGGTCCTCTCTACTGAGGCCGCCATGTTTTTTACATTAGTCCAGACTGGACAAACTGAACACCTTCTGAGTGTTCATGAAAATTGAAGGCTACCACAGGTTATTTTTCATGTTTGGAAGGAGAGGGTGAGGTGAGGAGAGTTCAGCTGAAACATGAGACTCATCAATCTCGGGACCTTTGAGTCTTTCCACTGGGTACGAGACTTTAAAATGTGAACCCACATCTTCTTCAAATCTAAGCAGTCTTAAAAACACCCAAGCCGTCTGGCAGACATCCTTTGAAATAGAGTCCATCTTGAACTGTCAATATCTGGAAGTGCACGAAATAAAGACAAAAATAGAGAAGAATTTGTTGGATTTATTTTTTTTTATTCATGTTACACTTCATAAAACTTTTTGTGCTCTATCAAGTGCGACATTTGCAAAGTGCAGCAGTTAATGTTTTCAGTTCTATTTTGAAATTTTATGAAGTGTAACATTTTAAGTTTGGGGGTTTGCAGTGTTCAGTTAGCTTGACGGTCCGACCTTCAGTCATGGAGTCTAGGTTTCCTGGACTCAATAACTTTTTTCCTGGTGGTCAGTCCCAATCCCAAATGTAGAAATGTTAATATAACATATTAAAACACACATTGATACGACGTATTTAAGACATTTAACATTGGACATTAAGCTTTAATAATCCACGTATTTGTAATTTCATAGTTGTTATTGTGTTTAACGTTGTCCTGCAGATGGTCTGGGAGAACGGCTGCACCGTGATCGTGATGATGACGGCTCTGGTGGAAGACGGAGAGAAACAGTGTGACCGCTACTGGCCTGATGAAGGCTCGTCCCTCTACCACATCTATGAGGTGCCTTGATATAATACACACACCTTAAATTAGACTGGTGAAATAGAGTGTCTTTTGCTGTATGTGCATTTTTGTGGTGTTTACATCCGTCTGTCCCTCAGGTGAACTTGGTGTCGGAACACATCTGGTGCAACGACTTCTTGGTGAGAAGTTTCTACCTGAAGAACGTGCAGACCCAGGAGACCAGGACGCTCACCCAGTTCCACTTCCTCAGCTGGCCCGCTCAGGGCATCCCCACCTCCACGCGGCCCCTGCTGGACTTCCGCAGGTACTACCTGTGTAGCCACACATCAACACTCGATGGGGGGGCGAACATGCTGGGAACATTAGTTTTTGCATGGTTATTTCAACAATGTGTATAAAATGAAATTCTGACAGCTTGATATGTCCAGAAGGGTTGTGCAGTTGATGATGGAGAGATTCAAATAATATAACATGAAAGTTTTCATTATCTGCCATATTCATATTTGACAGTCTGTTTAAATCCCTACCCAGCCCTAGTAACATGATGAACCAACAATATTTCTCCCGTCTTACCCTCCCCGCTCTCTTCTCCCCTCCTCTGTCCCTCCTCTCCTCCCGTCCTCCCACCCTGTGCGATGGAAGTCAGCGGGGCTCTTGGTTTAAAATTTCAACATATCTGTCTGTGTCATTCTTGTGGTTTGCAGCTAGTAGTCTGGGTCCAGTTGCATAGTCACAAAAATGATCATGGACTGATGTGGCTGCAGCAGGAGGTCCATCGCCGAAAACCCCCTCTTTACCCCCCCCTCCCCCCCATCTATCTATCTATCTATCTATCTATCTATTTATCTATCTATCTATCTATCTATCTATCTATCTATCTATCTATC